TTCTTTTCCTAACTTCCATTATCTTCATCAACTTACACTACTTCCTTCGTCTTTTCTGCAATAGTGGAAGGTTTATCTATTGTGTTTGGGGCCTTTTGGGGATCCAAAAACTGAGTAGTAAGGGCAGTCATGACAGAAGTTATCTTATCTAATCTCTTAGTCATATCATTGAGCTGAGTATCCTTATCTTTCAACAACTTAAGCAAAGCACGGATCTGGGGATTTTCACTCCCTCCTCTACTTGCACTTCCAACAACTCATCTGTATGAGGGTCTCCTGGAAGAGAGGATCCTCTTCTGCTATAGTGGTAAACATAGATATCCTCCTCATCCATAATATCATCCTCATCAGGATTAAAGTTTTCAATTAATTTTCTATAATTTTCCTTTTCCTCCTTTTCCTTCTTCTCCTCATCGATCTTCCTAAGGCTATCCTTTAAATATTCCATCATTTCTTCAATGGTTTTGCTTGTTGAAGGATTGACATTAGAAGGGTGATACTCTTCATAACTGTTAATTTTTATGGGTGCTTTACCTTTGTCATCAGGATCAACAGGAGTAGAAAGGGTAGAGTGTATCATTGATGGAGCCACCATCTTGAGTCTCCATTCTTTCTTCACCCCAGATGAGGAGGTATGAGATTTGAAAAGTTCACCTTGAAATGTATTTGCTTGTATTGAAGCCATTTAACCTCACATTTGAAAATGTGGGAGGTATACAATGCAAAATTTGATTATTATTTTTTTTTTTACAAATGCCATTTAGCCAATATTTAGGATGACCAAATGAAAACCACTAGTTTAGATGAAAACAGACATTCTCCTAGCGGAGTCGTCAGAAAATCTGTTGGAAAAGTTTTGTATCATCGAACGGATTGCATATTTTATGATTGAGTACGACATAAGAATGATGATATATTACCCAAAAGGGTAAAAAAATATCATTTCCTTATGCACTTAATAATAAAATTTACAATTTAAAATAGATATTCCCCCCTTCAATGTTTGGTTAAATGAGCTTTATTTTATTTCTGGGGTATAGACGTCCCATAGGGGCAAGCCCCTATGGTTAATTACATTCCAAGCTTTAGCTTGAGAAGACTTTTGATTAAACTAATGGTTTTCTTTATTGGAAGTCATTTTATACATTGGCTAAAGTTTGATTTTTTTTTTATTTTTTTATTTTAGAATCTGTGAAAGTCTTGCTTAAAGGGTTTTGGCCTTTAGGAATTTCAAGAAAGAGGTGATCAACTAAGAATTAGATTTTGGAATGAGAGCCAAAGGAGGTGAAGTAGAAGCACTTGATTCTCAGAGAAACTCAGAGGTGCTCAAACTATCCTATGTTGGGTTTTACATTTTAGAAGTCTAATTTTTATTTAAGTTGATCATTTTATTAGAATGTTGGGGCCTACATTCCAAAAACACATGTTGAAGGAATTGCCCGAAAGGTGAGGGCTTATATAGTGATCTGAAATCAACTATTACATCAGATCCTAAAATTAAAGTGAGGACTACCGATAGATAGTGCCTTGAACCTAAGTCTAACGAATGCCAAAAGGACTTACAAATTACACCCCACATGAGGCATAATCTGTCTGACCTCTGGATTTACTATCTCGACTGGAAGAGACTACCAGCTAAATCCACCGAATCGACTTTAAAACTATGTCTTTTGGTCTCAATGCAAATATAGAGTGGAGAGCTATTTCATTTAGAAGGTAGGACTTATAGCTTGGCTTTGAGGCTAAGATGTCTAATTATGATGGGTATGTATAATGCTGACTCACAAAAGAAAGATTTTTGTTATCTATTCCTTATGTGAAGGCTTGCTATATGCAACATATTTTGGGCTATGCATGTTTATTTTCAATTTTGAAAAACTTGGCTACTTGAAAGAGAGCCATGCAAATTTTCTTTTATTAAAAAATCATGTAGCCTAATTTTATTTTTTAGATTGTTTACATGTTAAGAGGTAGAAATTTTTTTTTTTATCCTAAGAGCCTACCGCACCAAAGTCCAGGCCACACTCAAACAAAGCAATAAAAGAAACTTAGAAAAAAGACATGCTTTTCTAAGGCGCACACAGTAAACAAACAACGTATGTTTTTGTATATAAGTAAAGTGAAATGAATGTAAATAGGATACAAGTTATTACAAACAAATTTGACAGCTGAGTTGTCTGTCATTGTACAACCCAGTCAAATTATTACAGACTCTACTTAGGGGGGGGGGTATTCAGGCTCTTGAATTCTGGATGGACGTAGGGCTTTACCTTTAACAGGTACATCCTTCTAGTCCGCTTCCTTCTTTTTGCTTCAAACTCGCACAAGTTTTACATCCTACTTCTATAAAATACATTTGGAAAATATAAAAGACTCAAACTTGTAAAATAGAGCTACACGCAGTTTATATTATAATTATATTATATTCCAAAATTAGCCTAGCACTTAGAGTGCTAAGCACCTGCTTCTATCCTGTTGGCCATGTCTCTTGGGGGGTTTTAAGTAGCGCCTGCAAACAAACAGCATTATGATAATCATGATTTAATTTACCCTCTCTTGGAGATAGCTACATGTACAGAAAACATATATATATATATATATATATATATATATATTTCTATATTTCTATACTAACCACTTAAGGGTAAGTACCCACAACGTAGACAATTTAAAAGTCATCCACACCAAATCATCAATCACATGCACACAAAGAAAAATCCTAATCCTAGTATGCCTAAGGGGTTGTGCATCTAAGTGTGTTAGGCTTGTGTGATATGTCACACTAAGGGTCCTCTTAGAATTTGGATCTAAGGAAAAAGTGTCCAATATATAGCTTTTGAGCTCAATATTGGAGAAATTTTCCCTAGCTTTTGGAGCTAGAAAAGGAATGAGTACTTATTTTAGCTTTGAGGCTAAATAAGGGGGAGAAAGAGAGTCCAACACATAGCTTTTGAGCAATGTGTGGAAGAATTCTGCTTAGCTTTTGGAGCTGAGAAGAGAAAGTGGGAATCCAACATTTAGCTTTTGGGCTAAATGTTGAAGAACTCTCTCTATCTTTTGGAGTTAAAGAGAGGGAAAAATCTCTTACAATTTGGAAGTTGGAGGAGAGTTGAGAGAATATGCAACTTAAGGATTACAAATTTATGAAAATCTTTGAACACTTTGATGTTCAAAGAGAGGGTTGCATCCTTCCAACTTGAGTTTGAAAGGGTGGAGGGATGTAGGATTTTTTAATCCTAAGTTTGAGAGAAAACTACTTGTTGCTTTTGGTTCAACAAGTAGATTGATTTGGAACATGATTGAATCACTCAATATGGGTTGAGTGAAAGAGAGCTTCATACAACTTTTGAGTTTTAGGAGTGTGGAAATTTCTCTACAGTTTTGGGTTAGTAGAGAAGAGAGGGGATAAAATACAACTTGAAAGTTGCAAGTTGGAAAGATTCCTTTGAACATTTTAGTGTTCAAAAGAAAGGGATATTCACCACTCTAACTTGAATTTATGGGATGAGAATGATCTTTACGATTCCTTTTGAATTGTAGAAGAAGAAAAGAATGTGCAACTTATGGGTTGCAAATTTCTGAATGCCCCTTTGAAAATTTGGTGTTCAAAGAGAGGGGTACACCCTCTTAATTTGGGTTTAGGAGAGTAGCGGGGAAGAAAATAAGGTGCAACTTGGGTTGCAAACTCTTGAAAGTTCTTTGAACATTTAATCATTCAAAGAAGAATGTACACTCCTAATTTAAGTTAGGAGAATGAGAGCATCTTCCTATGATATATGAGTCATAGAAAGGGAGAGACAACAAGCAACTTGTAAGTTCAAGTTGAAGGGAAATCCCTTGAACATTTGATATTCAAGTGGAAGATGTAAATTCTCCCAATTTTGAGTTTGGGAGGGTGAATAAGGAGTTGAATATTTCCTACAATTTTGGCTTGTAAGAAAGTGGGAAGGACTTGGAGAATTCCCACAACCTTAGCTTGTTGGAAAGGGAAAAAGACTTGTGCATTACAAGTTTGGAGAATTTCTTTGAGCATTTGATGTTCAAAGAAAAAGGGGAGGGACATACACACACATTCACCCATTTTTAAGCTAGGTGAATGGAGAGATTTTCTACACTTTTTGTTTGGTAGAAAAGGAAAAGAATGTGCAACTTAGAGGTTACACATTCTTTAGTGTCCTTGAACATTTAATGTTCAAAGGGGGATAACCATTCTCATAAATTTGGGCTTAGGAGAATGAGAGAACTTTTTACAACTCTTATGTTAAGAGAGAGTAACAAGCAATCTTTGGATTGCATGTTGAAAGGGATTCCTTGGACATTGAGTATCCAAGAAATTTTCATTTGCCTAAATAGTGGCTAAGCAAATGAGATGAAAGAACTCGATGTTTGATCTCAAGTTCAAGAGTTTACAACCTTATGCGTGGGGAGATTGGTGATAGCTCCCAAGGCAAGTTAAATGTCATGCAATGATATATTTGGAAACTTGAGGAGGTTTCAATCAATACATATGAGAGGGATGATGATTGTTTGTTGACTTTGTCACAACAAACAAAGGATTGGTGGCTTAGAATTTATTTCTAAGGTTTAGGACCATGTAACGATAATAGTTGGAGCCTTTAGAGACTTCAAATTATCATACAGGAAAGAGAGGGGTATCCATTTGTTGGTTTTGTGACTCAACAAACGAAGGAGAGAGCTTAGGATTTGGCCACAAGCTCCAAATGATTCATGCAATGATATGTTTGGAGACTTAGAGAGGTCCCAATTGATCATGTATGAAAATGATGGGTAGATTATTGTTTATTGACTTTGTCTCAACAAACAAATGCTTAGCAGAGTGGCCAACTTTTGTTAACAGTCTAGAAACAACAGAGTTAAAGCTTAGCTCTTTTATTTCAGAAGGGTAATGAAACAGTGATCAACTACATTTATTCTTTGGGGAGCAGCGGGTAAATCTCATAAGCAAAATTCCTATTAATGCAGGTAGGAGGTATGATCTTATGGAACTGAAATTTAAATATTCTGGGAGATCTATTGCTGCCTTGGCATTTCAAGCGGTAACAGAACAGAGTGAAGGAACTGCTCACTGGATGTGGATGAAAGAATTAAAATTGAGACCGAATATTGAACTCTTTTGGTGGAGGCTTTGTAATGATGCTATTCCCTCTAATGATTTTCTTTTTAGAAGAAGATTAAATAATTTCTCAAGATGCCCGAGAGGATGTAAAGAAGAAGAGAATGGATGCCATATTGCAGGGAAGTGCGATAAGCTTCGAACGGTAATTTCTATTCTCAATGGCTGGGGATTCCAAGTTCCTTTTTTTGATAATATTTCAGAATGCTTGGAAGGTTTAAAGAAGCTTGTTGGAAAGAAATCTTTAATTGCTAATATGTATTGTACAACTACTCGGCTAGTTTGGAAAAGCAGATGCAAATTAATTCATGATGGCATAGAAGACTCGGTTAATTCTTTGGCTGCAAATGCAGTTTCTACATCTACTGTATGTAACTTTATTAACTCTTATTCGGATAACTGGGATGTCAACCAGCGTAAGCTTTTTTGTTCTTGGCATCCTCCTCCACCCGGCTGGATTAAAATAAATGTAGATGCCTCTCTTTTGAGGAATAATGTGGCTGGTTTTGGAGGTGTGGCAAGGGATGATAAAGGGAGATTTCTGATAGCTTTTGGAGCTAAACTTATGCATTGGGACATTGCTCAAATGGAATTGATGGCAGTTTTATACTTGAAAAATATCATTCGGGATTGGATGATTGAAGCTCAAGGAGTTATTATTGAAGGGGATAACTTCAATATTATAAAAATTCTGCGTTTGGTGATGAAGACCTGGAAGGTTAGTAAAATAATTGATGATAATTTAGCTTTCCTTCTAGATTTCAACCAAGTTTTGTTCTCTTTTTCAAATAGAGATTGTAACAAATTAGCGGATGTTTGTGCTAATTTGGCTTTAAAGAAATCTTTTATTTGGGAGGATCTTAGCTTTGAGGAAATTCCTCCTTCATTCTTGTTTTGCTTGAAGGAGGAATATGATCTTTAGGGGTGACTTGAATAGTTTGTAACAGTGTTTTTTTTCAACTTTCAATGCTATTGCATTTCTTCTCAAAAAAAAAAAAAAAAAAAACAAACGAAGGGTGAAAGAAATTTAGGATTTGGTCCTAAAAATAAAGGACTCATGCAATGATATGTTTAAAGGCTTGAGGAGCCTTAGAATATCCTGCATGAGAAGAAATTTGTTTGTTTTTTGTGTTCCAACAAATGGGATGGGAGGAACTTAGAATTTGCTTCTAAGTTCAAGAATTTAAGGCATGATGCATTTTAGGATTTAGAGAAATCCATAACACAATGCACGACGAAGATAGGTGATAGCTCTTAAGGTAGACTATGAGACATGCAATGAGGTATTTGAAGCTTTGAAGAGGCTTCAAAGGTCATGCATGAAAGGGGAAGAAAATTGTTTGTTGATTTTGTCTAGACAAACAAGAGGGGGTTGACTTAGAATTTGTTTTTAAGACTTAGCACCATATAATGATATCGGTTGGAGCCTTTGGAGGCTCCAAGTTATCATTCATGAAAGAACACAAATATTTACTTGCTAGCTTTGTGTTCTAACAAATAAAAAGAAGAAAACCTTTAAATTTGATTCTAGGTTTAAGTAGTTCACTTAGTGATATATTTAGAGGCTTGAGGAGTCTCAAATCACTATGCATGAGAGGGTATTTGTTGGTTTCATGTTCCAACAAAAGAGGTGAAATAATTTGGGAGTTGATTCTAAATTCCCTCAAATTCATGGAAAGATGTGTTTGGGGCTAAAAGGAAGCTCGAAACAATCATGAATAAAATGTACAATATGTAGTTTGGAACTACAAATTGAAAATGTCATCTACCTATATAGGTTAGGCAAATAAGATAGGCTAGATTTACAATCCTAAGCCTAAAGATGGAATTCTTTCATTGATCTTTGTGTCTCATATAAAAGAAAGAGGTAGCTTAGATTTTTGGCTCTAAGCTACAAAATCTTCATATAATGATAAGTTGGAGTTTTAGAGGATTCCAAATCATCACATATGAGAGGAGAAATGTTCATTTGCTAACTTTATGTTGTTAGCAAATGGAATAAGGACTTAGGGTTTGATCCTAGAGTCTCGATTCATGCACTATAATAATTGGTGCCTAGAGAACGCCCCAACTACTATGCATGAGGGACATATAAGGAAGAGAATTTACTACTCTCCTATAAATGTTCTAGATTCGTTTGAAGGGGAGAGGATTAACTCCCTAATGCGTTGGAGAGTTTTCCCAAATTAAATTTGATATGATTTTGGGAATTTGAAAGTTTCTAGGAATATCCTAAACATCCGTTTTGGCAAGATCTAGGGGAAACCTAAAAGTACACAATTGGAGCTTCTAGGATAGAGCTAGAATTCACACAATCTAACATTTGGAGCCTTGAGGATGCTCCAAATATTATGTATGAAGGGGAAAAATGTAAGGAAGAGAGTTCCTCAAAGTTTTGAATGAACGTTTTGGATTCATTTGGAAAGGAGAGAATTGATCTCCTACAATTTCTAAGAGGTCTCACAATCGAATTTGACATCATCCAAGAAACATAGAAATACGAATGAAGTTTGTATGTTTAGGGGGGCGAACATATGCTAAGTTTGACTATCATTACACTTGAATCCCTCAATTTATAAATTCAACTAATCATGCTTAAGTAATTTCAATGCATGATGGTGTATGATCCATAGACCTTTGAATGTCAGGGAATACACCACCTTTGCTTTAAAAGCATTTGGAAATTATATGAGCATGCTTACAAATTTGTGAATTTTGGATACAAACAAAAAGTGAACAAATAATCACCATTTAAAACAAACTAAACTTGATGAAAGGCTTGTCATGAATTTGGTTGGTTATGAATGTCATGAGATTTACAACATAAGTCTTTGGAGACTTGTAGTAAACCTCACAGCGATTTGTACCATAGATCCTTTTGCTAGACCAAACAACCCCACTACAAGTTTCCACCAAATTTATTAAGCAATGAACTTTAGCATACATAACATATCCTAAACACATGTCAATTTTGTCATAGTGCGTCAATCTAAGAAGCCTAACCTAGCATGCGACATTGTAAAGAAAAGTTTTCACCCTAACATTTAATTTCTAGGACAAATGAAATGTCCTAGCCAATGGTTCAAACATAGGTGATGGAGGAGATGCATAAATGCAAAATCATACACTTTGGGAGGTGTTGGACACCAATCCAACATTTCCACACGCATCAAAATCCTCTCCGGACTCTCACCTAAGAGCCAACAAATGGAAATCACAAAATTTTCATAGTCTTTGTGAAGTGGACAGCTAATAAGGGGTTTTGGGAGAGCAAAAATCAAAGTTTCTAAGGACCTAGGGCATGGGGGTGTCAACCACATATCAATTGGCCTTGGGGGACACTAGGTTAGTGTTATACCTCTCCCAGATTATCCTAGCGCTCCTATCCAAGCTCCAAGCACTGTCCAAGCTCCAATTTAAGCTCCGGATCGCTGCAAAGCTCAATCCAAGCTCCAGAGTTGCTCCAAGCCGTTCCTAGAGAGGGAGATCGCTGTCCAAGCTATTCCGGTCGTCGCCGCCGCTGTCCAAGGTGATTTGAAGTCTCCGAATAGCTGTTGGGAGAGTTTTGAAGCCCTCTTTTGTTGTTTGGAAGTTTCCAACAACTTCCAACTTGCTACGAACTCGCCAGAGTCGAGAGAGGAAGAGGTAGAAGCCTTCCTTTGGACAAGGAACCGCACAAATACTTCTTTAGATGGGGTTGGGGTCTTCGGATCAGAGGGGGGTCGCTACCTGGAGCTTGAGATTTCGGAAGATCCGGTGGATGAGAGGGACAAAGCTCTTGGTGGGATAGACCAAGGGTCCAGAGGTCGCGGATGAGGGATCGGAGCTTCGCACGCGAAGAGGAAGGGAATCCCGCCTTCCTCTCTCTCGCTCTCTCTGTTGGGATGGGCCGCACGAAACAAAACCAAAACAGGGGAGCCGAATCAGGCTCCCCCTCTCTTTATCCGCTTCCTTATGGACGTGAATCGAGCCATTGAGCCGCCCGATACATCCCATCGCTGCCTCATTTCGTGAAACGAGAGAAAATATACTCAAGTAGATTTTCTGCCCAATTGATGTGAAATTGGGTGGGATTTGGGGGGAAATCTCAACCCTATATCTCAAATTTTGATTTGAGAACAGAATTCAACCCAAATTGACTGATTTGGGTTGAAATTGAGTTCGAATCGAACTCGACCTGAACCGATTTGGGTCGATTTGAGTCCGTAGGAGTCAGTTTTGTAAAATTAAGCTCGAATTGGCGCCGAATTGCATCGAATTGGGCTAGACGACTCTCGACAGGGTTTGATTAGTTTTGATTTGATTTTAATTATATTAAATCGAATTTAATTTGGCTAAAACAAATTTAATTTAATCAAATCGGGGTCTTATTTGTGTTGATTTTGCCTCGATGATGATCGATTGAGTTGATCGAGCGCGATCGAGCCTAGGCGGGCTCGACCGTGGTCGGGTCGATACAAAAATGTTCGTTGACAAGATGCCCTTAACCTAGGACCCATAAGGATCAAATCTATAGGCTGTCTAGGTTGGTACCCGTATATAATTTCAGCGGGACTTAGACTCGTGGTTCGATTAACAGAATTGTTATATGCGAATTCAGCTATAGGAAGTTTGGAATCTCAATCCCTAATATGTTCTCCTACTAGGGTCCTTAGGAGGTTACCTAGAATTCTATTAACAACTTCAGTTTGTTCATCAGTTTGCGGGTGAAAGGTAGTGGGAAATTGGAGTTTGGTACCCATTTTGTGCCATAAAACCTTCCAAATTTAACTAGTGAATTTTACGTCTCGATCCGACATTATGGTTTTGGGTAATCCGTGAAGTCTAATGATCTCATCGAAGTAAAGCTTTGTGATTCGGGAGACTCTAAAAGTTTTGGAATAAGGGAGGAAATGGGTCATCTTAGAAAAACGGTCGACTACCATAAAAATGGAGTCATGCTTTCTAAAGGTTTTAGGTAGTCTAAGGACGAAATCCATATTTACGTCCTGCCAAGGGCAATTGGGTACTGAGAGGGGTGTGTAGAGACTGGTGTTCTGTTTTCGCTGCTTAGCTAACTGACATGTATGACATCTTTTAACCAATTAATAAACATCTCGTTTAAGACTAGGCCAAGAAAAACAATGTTTTACAGAGGTGATGGTTTTTGTTTGGCCAAAGTGTTCAACTAAACCTCTAGCATGTAATTCCCATACGAGAAATTCTCGTAGAGAAGTATTGGGAATGCAAAGCTTTTGTGATTTAAACAAATAACCATTTCCAAAAAGAAATCATCAACTATTCGTTCACCTCCAATCGTCAGTAGGGAACGTTTCCTTAAAGTCAGGGCAATCCCTATAATCTTCTTTAATTCGTTCAAATCTACTCACTTCTGCCCTTATTTCTCAGGTTACCATCATACGACAACTTAAGGCATCTGCCGCTTTATTTTCAAATCCTGCATTGTGTTAGATTGTATAGATATACTCTTGCAGGAATTCAACCCAACGACTATATCGGGCATGTTGACGAATATTTTCGCATCGACTTGACCCCGATCGAGCTCAACTAGGCTCGATCACACTCGATCAACCCAATCGATCATCATCGAGGCAAAATTGTTCCAAATTGAGCCTCAATTTAATTAAATTAAACCCAATTTAAGTTAATTAAAATCAAATCAATTTAAATTGAATCCCGTCAAGCATCGTCGAACCCAATTCGACCTGATTCGACACCGATTCGAGTTCAATTTCACAAAATTAAATTGATTGAACCCAATCGGACCTAAACCGACCTAAATCGGTTCGGGTCGAGTCTAATTCGAACTCAATTTCAGCCCTAATTTGTCAATTTGGGCTTAATTTGATTTTCAAATCAGAAACTGAGATCAATGGCTCAGATTTCATCCGAAATTATGCTCAAATTCTTCATTTCTCGCAA